GAATAGCATAAATTAGACTGAACGGCTTAAACAAACACCTTGGCGCGGATGGAATCCGTTTGCACGTTCAGTGTTGGCTTACCCATGCGAATATACAACATTTCATTAACAAGGCAATCAAATTTGCCGTTAATGTAACGGCAAATTTGATTGCCTTGTTAATGAAATGTTGTATATTCGCATGCGTAAGCCAACACTGAACGTGCAAACGGATTCCATCCGCGCCAAGGTGTTTGTTTAAGCCGTTCAGTCTAATTTATGCTATTCTTGTACCTTTCCTTATTTGCATGTTTTTAAACTAGTCTCTTGATAATGGAGTCACGATGACCCCGAAACGTCGAGTAATAAATCTTTCCTGGTTTTTTCTATGCCTTTGCTTTAGCAAATCCCTGCTGATCAAGTTAAGCAACACGAAATTAAGCCCCCTATTGTTAACCAACAATGTGTCGTTTATGAATTTAAATGTAACCTGTGTGATGCAGGGTATGTGGGCTATACTCGTGGTCACTTACACGAGCGCGTAGAAGGGCACACAAGGAAATCATCTTCTATCTACAAACACTACCACCTCCAGCACAATAGTGAAATGCCTGAACGCTTGATCGAGCAATTCAACGTCATCACGAAATGTAACGGCAAATTTGATTGCCTTGTTAATGAAATGTTGTATATTCGCATGCGTAAGCCAACACTGAACGTGCAAACGGATTCCATCCGCGCCAAGGTGTTTGTTTAAGCCGTTCAGTCTAATTTATGCTATTCTTGTACCTTTCCTTATTTGCATGTTTTTAAACTAGTCTCTTGATAATGGAGTCACGATGACCCCGAAACGTCGAGTAATAAAAATTCAGAGAAATGAAAATTCAGCACAGCTCAGGCGCAGAATCAAAGAGATAGCTTGCTGGGCCGAATATGAGCTACTGGCCTCAACAATTCAACTTTGCTGTGTGGTGCGCTACTTCAGGCTGTGGAATCTCTCGTGAACTGCTTGAAATGGTTCCAGAACAGATCAAGTCGTTTCTGCAGTTTCACATTTATTTCACAATCAGAACAATTCTCTTTGAGATGGGTGGAATACAGAGTGAATCAGCTCTCTCGGGCGACTCAACTTTCAGTCAGACGATTGAAAAGATTGTGTTCAGAATTTGTAATTTCGTCGAGCACCGACTTCCACTTCAAAGAAGGAGACAATGACGGTCTTGGATCTGTTTTCTTTTATGTCACAAATACTGGATCTATGGCAACTGAGATCTTCAGCAATGAAGGTGGAAAAGCTATAAAGGGCAATCTGATATATTTCATAAGGAACGACAATGTTAAAGTTGAAAAACAGTTTGAGTTTTTCATGGCAGATAAGTCAGAAGGCTTGACGCAAGCCGGGATGGCGAGATTGAATCAGTCGATTGAGGCATTTGTTTATTGTATTCTTGGTTCACAAGTCAATGTAAGATCATCCATCTTTGGTTCATCAGGAAGCGCAAAAGAGGCTCAGCGTGAGTTCCTTGTTTTAGTTGGGGATGCGATCAGAATGACAGACATCTCAAAGAGCGTTCAGAGGTTTCAGCTCGCGATTGATGAGGCGAAAGTCAGACTTGATCTTGCAATCTGAACAGGTAATTGGCTGATGCCCTGAAATCTTGTCTTGAACACACAGAGCACAGTTGGGTATAATAAGAAGCTAAAGAAGGCAAGTTCTGACATGAAGTTTGGGGTCAATAAATCAGTGAATCTGGATATGAAATCAGTCGGAGTTAAGCATATGAACGGGGGCTTATCCAAAATCAAGAGACCAACTTCTCAGTTATCAGATCAAAAGACTTCAACTGAGGTTCAGTCTGAGAACATGAAGACAAGCGCGAGCAAGAGCGACAGCGAAACAAATCATGATAAAATTAAGGTTGGATTGATTTCAATTGGATTGGTCTCAGCCTTCCTGATTCATCGCCTTTTGTTTTGAAATCGCTCTAGCATGAATATGGCAACACCCATTATCAAAACCCAAGCATTTTGTCCGAGAAAGTTGATCACTGAGCCAGCAGCTCTGAAAACGAAGCCGACTATTGAACCAATGAGGCCTGGTAGAATTCCAGCGATCTTTTTTCTACGAGTCTTCAGCCCGTTCCCCACCCCTTTTGCAACAGTCTTCAAGCCTTTTGTCAATGTGCTCACAATCACTCCAGTTGTTTTTCCAACTGCCAAAACAACAGCTGAGACTGTAAAACCATCCTTTTTGAAGATGTTTCTCACTCTCTCACGGAGCGATAATCTTTCTTCTGGTCTCTCTCTTTCATTCTCAAGAGCATCAATCTGCTCTTGATTTTCTGCTATGCTTTCTCTTGCTCGTTCTCTTATAGCAGGATTTTCATTCTCATCATCAGCAATATCTCGATCATCTTGAGTTGACTGTTGTAGCTTCTCAATTTCTTTATCTTTCTGTGCAATCAAAACCTCTCGCTCTGGACCAAGTGACTTTTTAATTTCTTTTGAGAGACTTGGATTCAACCTCTGCTTATTTGTACCCCTTTCTTCAGCAAACAAAGGATATGTCTTCTTGCCTTGACCAAACATCTTCACCTGCAACCTTCCTTTCTTACTATAAGAAACTTCAAGTTCTGAAGCTTTTGCCTCAGGAAAAATTGCAGTAAGTGTTTCCCATGCATTCTCATTTGAAGTTAAAACTCGCGAACCAAAAATATCACCTTCAATAGAAGATGTCTCAGCAGTTTTTGAGCCCTTTTCTTGCTCTCTGTTCATTGTCGTCATTGGAATTTCTTCGCCTGAGGGCCCTGAAGTTGAATTCTCGTCTGGTTGAAAAGGTGTTGTTGTGTCTCCTTCRTCTGCTCCCACCTCGTCATCTTCTTCTTCATCATCATCATCATCATTATGTTCTAACAGAGGGTCACTATCTCCAAAATCTGCCATTTTTTTAAAATATCTTTTATAAAAAATGGAAGTCATTGAAATAATTGGCCCGAGTTTTGAAAAAAAGATGTCAAACGCTCACAAGGGAGACCGTGTGATTCACAGAGTAACATTCAACCCGAATAGTGCTTCCCCTGGTGAATTCCTTAGGGTTCTAGTTCCAAAACTTGATAATGGGTAGTACTTGTGCCTGGATCGTTTGCATTCATCTTCAACTTTACAGTCAGTGGGCATGCAAAAAATTTCCTCGTGAACAATGTAGCAAGAGCTCTTGTTGATCGACTGACTCTGAAGTTTGCAGGAGAAATTGTGCAAGACACCGATGGTTATGATTTATTCAAGCTTTGGGAGGACCTCTTCTTGACTGAGAATGAAAGGGCAAACATGTTCAGAGAAGGTATTCAGTCCGAAGATCTTTCGAAAATCAGATGCAACGCTGGAGATAAGAAGTCTTCAGGCGTTGATAAAGAAAATAAGCTCAATGCAGTTTACGGGAAATTGTACAGGATTCCATTGAATCATGATATTTTGAAGGATCATGGAGTCTTCTTTCCGAGAGCTCTTTCTGACGAGCTTCTCTTCGAGCTCAGGCTTGCACCTGCTGGTAGTGTTGTGAAGGGATCCGACCCAACAAAACTTTCTTATCAATTGACTGGCATCCAGCTTGAGTATGAAGTCATTCACAGTCAAAAACTCGCTGATGAAGCCCTTTCTAACTACAAAAATGGAAAGAGATTCATGTACGAGCATATCACTCATCTCAAGACAATCTCAATAGATAAAGGTTCCGACACAATCATCAAGGAGAGTATCAATGTTCCAANGATTTACAGCCAAGGAATGCAGGCAAGAGATATGTGGGAAGAAGTCTTTAGAAGATTTGGGAAGGAGAACAGCGCGATGAATGCAACAGACTTTTATGCTGGAGACAGATTCGGTCTCTTTATCGATCTTTGAAGCAGGAGAGACAATGATCTTCACGGTTCAGGATTGAGATTGGTGAATACAAAAGATGGAGTTCATCTTGCAATTAACAGGAAAGTATCAGGTTCAGGAAATGTCACATCTTCATTCTTTCTGATGCTCAGCTCAACATCGTCAACAGAGAGCTTGAAAGTGTGACCTATTAATAACGCAATCATGAGTTTTTTGGGATTATTTCTGAGATATTGTAATGAGTTTTTTCTGATGGTTCAAACGCATTTTGAGATTGTCTTGAGAATCGATGTGATCTCAAAATTCTTCAATTTTTCTTTGATTTTTGAAGGAAAAACTGCGCCAATCATTTTGCCTTAAAATCATCGTTGTTCATTTTGAAATGAGATAAAAAATCAAAATCATTTTTCAAAATGTCCTTCAAAACTGCCTTGTTCTTAAGGTTATTTGAAAAATGTGCCGGAAACCCCCTTTTCCTACTACTGTCGAAATAGGTAATCTATGAATATCACTTTACTCTTTAACCAGATGATAAGTAGAAACCTATTATGAGTAATCGGTTTCAAAAGTGGAAAAACAAATTAATCGACTCTGCCTTTTATTAAAGTTTTCTCTTTTAATGTATGTTACCACGAAAAGGAAGCCAGTTTGTCGAGATAAACCGGTCTTAACAAAGAACTTAATTCCTAATTGCTAATTCTTAATGGTTCATATTTATTATAATTTCAAACAGACATATTGGTTGATTACCAGGCTGTGCCGTTCGTTCACCAGCAACATATCAATGACTTTATAAGTGAAGTGACCCAACCAGGTGTAAGCAGATGATAAGTAGTAACACATCATGAGTAATCGGTTTCAAAAGGGGAAAGACAAATTAATCGACTCTGACTTTTATTGTTAAAGTTTTCTCTTTTCATACATGTTACCACGAAAAAGAAGCAGGTTTGTAAAGAAGTAAGAACCAGGCTAAAATAACCTAGAAATAAGATAATAATTCCTTATTTTTAATTCTTTATGGTTCATATTTATTATGATTTCAAACAGGCATGTTGGGTGATTATCATGGGGCGTTCGTTCTCAATCAGCAAAGTCAGCAACATATCAATGTCTTCATAACTGAAGTAACCCAACCAGGTGGACCTATGGAGGCGGCCTTGAATTATTTATTAACTCAGCAGAATTCACTACCTCCAGGCGTGGTATGTTTCTAACTTAGAGGACTACGGCGGCCTATAGGGGACATCACACAATTTTTTTTATCGCGTGATAAAATCAAAATATCGCGCGATAAATGGAAATTATCACGTGATAATTTTTATTATCGCGCAATAATTTTTATCATTAAAAACTGAATCATTGGACAATGCAATTCAAGACTTTTTATTGGCTAGCCATTATGGTATATGAGCCAATATACCATAATCTACAAATATGGTAAGCGTGGGCGTCAGTTTAAAATCAAAAGGGAGCTAAAAAATTCGGTTTCTTCTTACAAAATAATTTCTTGGGGGCGTTTTTAATAAAAAAATTATTCCACTCGCGCTTGTTGGATATGAGATGATTATAGCCAACTCGGCGCTACGCGCCTCGTTGGCTATCTATCATCTCATATTCAACGCGCGCTCGTGGAATAATTGTTAATTATCATCGCGCGATAACTTTTATCATCGCGTGATAATTTAATATTTATCGCGCGATAAATGGGAAACTTGTTTTCGTAATCGGCTGTCACGCACGTTGTTTCCGTGGACGACAAATGTACAAATTTTTTTAAAATTTTTTAAAAATCTTTCAAATATAAACTAATGAGCAGCACTTCTACGAACAGTATTTGGAAAACTTCTTTATTCTCAGACGCGTTTCGTGTAACTGTCGTAGACTTATTCAGGGCCACAAAGGCTCGGCCAGACTTACCAACAGGAGCAGGCGAAGTTGTAAAACATTTAAAACGTGTTAGGCAAGGAGGTGAGAAAAATATTTTGGGGGCCAGGGTTATAGCTAAAACTACTGTTCGCAGAAGTGCTGCTCACTAGTTTATATTTAAATAATAGACCCTGACGCCTATGCACTCGTTTCAGCTGACGCAAGCTTATTTCAATTCCATGAAAAACAGCAGAAAAGCGATTATCTCTGAGTAAGCCAGATCAAGAGAAAAGTAGTGATTAATGATATCGTTCCTCTGGAAAGTATTAGGCAAACCATTGCCAATGTAAGGCGGTAATACAGCTCTGATAAATGTATTACTCCAAAAAGTCCTTTCAAAGCNTGTCCATTTCAGTTGTCATAGATAACAGTGTTCTGGAAAAGTCACAGAAGTCAGTTATCATGGATAGTGGTGCCCCAGATAAGTCAGATATCGTAGATGGTGCGCACAATTCTTCCTTGGATACAAATGTATATAGTGGTACTTGCCAAAAGTCCGGTGATATAGACGAGGGCCCTCAGCAACCTATCTTGAAGTGCTATGACCCAAAAAATTCGGCAGTGAATCTTTTTCTAGAGATTTCAATCCAGCCTGGTACAAACGTTATCCATGGCTGAGCTACAACGTTTATATCAACTACAACAAATACAGCGTGCTGCTACCCATGCCAGAAATACTTAAATGTCCCCGATTTCACGTTTGACAATTGAAAGAAGATAGAGCGTCTCATTAAACACCACAAGAGTGAGAACCATCAAATGGCCATGGCGAAATGGATTGATAGCAGAGCAAATAAAAATAAAAATACTTCAATACTGAGCCAACTCCCGGAATCACACAAACAATATGTGAAGGAAAATCGCGACTACTTGAAAGTTATCATCGAATGTCTCATGTTCACTGCCCAACAGAGCATCGCCCAACGGGGCCACGATGAACAACGTGATAGTTTGAGTAATAGCAGTGATGTAAATAGAGGTAATTTTCTGGAAGTAATTCACTTGCGGTGCAGGGACAAGCTTGGCTGAAGGATAAACTTGAAAGCCAGCTTCAGAAGCATGCACAGTGGACATATCCCGTGATACAAAACGAACTGCTACAAATTATCGCAGACCTCATTCGCGAGCGTATCACAAACTATGTGCGAACCAGCGGATGGTATGGTATCATCTTGGACGAAACATCAGGCATTAGCAGAACAGAACAAGTTTCACTTTGCCTTAGTTTTGCACTGAATGGAACGAAGAAAGAAGCATTCCTTGGTTTCTACTCCAAAAAATCAACCAAAGGCGAAGTACTGTATAAACTGGTGAAATCTGCTATCACTGAACTCAGTCTTGATCTCAAGAACATTGTTGGTAAAGCATTCGATGGGGCTGCTAATATGAATGGTGTACACAAGGGACTCTCAACAAGAATGGAAGAGTGCTCTCCGCTCGGTATCTACGTCCACTGTTACGGACATGTGCTCAACCTCGCCCTTCAGGATATGACACAGATTGAACCATTGCAAAACGCTATGGGAACTATCCAGGCTCTCTACAAATTTTAGAAGCGAGTCCCAAACGACACGCCTTGTTTAGTGACACAGAAGTACAAGGTGAGGATCTAAAACTGACGCTGAAGTCATTAAGTACCACACGATGGTCATGCCGGTGGGAAGCCACAAAGGCCGTACACGGGCAAATGGAACGGATTGTAGAAGCCCTGCTCAAACTGTCTTCAGGCAAAGATCGT